CTGACTTCTCCAGCTAAACAGGACGTGTCTTTGGCTCATCAGCCTCCACTGAATCCTGGCTTCTTGATTCCTGAGGCTGACCATCCTGAAGCCCAGTTGGGGCAGCACTGTGAGATTCCAGGTCAAAGTCAGACTCTGAATCGTGGCTTATAACCCTTTCAACTTTCCTTTGCTTTAGAGACCTGCAAAGGTGGTAAGTGAAAGGATTGAAGTGACTTTTTCACCCCTGCTCTTGTGGTGAACAGTCTCTAAACGAGACAGTAGCCAAAGGAGGACCGCTTGTAATCTGATGCTAAAGTTGACGCGAAACTTCTGCATAGCTAATATATCGGAAGAAGCTTTGCAAAGCGAGAAATTGATTGAGCCCCAGAAACGTTCGTTTTTCAGAAGCCACCCACTGACAGCAACAGCATATCCATGGCCAATCAGAACACCGACGAAGGTAATGGTTTTCAGGGCAGAGAGGAAATCCTTGCAGGATTGTCAAATTCTATTAAGGAGTTGGTATCTTTCCCCAGTTATAATCAATGGACAGGTCAATTATATCTGGCATCCTATTCTTTGCCTTATCAGATCTGTGGATAAGATTGTGCAGGCGGAAGGCACGGTGGCCAGAGCTGTCTAAATCAAGTCAGTCCCGATTCAGATTTATACTTATTTATTTTAGCAAAAGGACGAGGAAGCTGCTAGCCCAAAGTACCTTTTGATGCTCTCTCCAGATTAATCTCTGCAGGGTCCACATCTGATCAGCCCACCTGGAGTCTTCAAAGCTCAAACACTCCAAGAACTACATTTGATGCAATAACATGTTGAATGTGATGTCGAGCTGCAGGATGGCTATATTCTCAGGCCTATTTTTATAGGCATTATGGGGTGTATTATGCTAACTGGAAATTATCCCTGCATAGGAGCTCATTCATACTGTGGTGTAATGAAGGGAGATTGAATTCCAGATGCCTTACAGTAGCACTATGCCAGAATGTATCCCCTGACTTCACCATCCTTTTATTAGGATATTGAATTCACAGAAGGGAAAAAGAGCGTTGAATTTACCGGCAGGGGATGTTACAGGTCCCATCAATTATGATCTGAGAGGATCATAGAAAACGGCCTTCTCAGTGGTGGCCCCTTCTGCAGGGAACATCATTCCTTCTGAGGTATGGTGGCCTCCCCCACTGTTGCTTTTCCGAAAGGTCCTAAAACCCTCCTTTTCTCAGCAGATTTGGGGACCATGAATGGAGACGGGGCTGATCAAGTGACTGATTTTATTGTGTTGTTGCTACCGCTATGTTGTAGGATGGGAGTGTAATAGGTTTTTAATGTTGTGGTTTTTTTTAATGTTCCAAGCCACCTGGAGATGTGTGAGTTGGGCAGCCATGTAAATTGGTTTGTTTAGTTAATTAATTAATTAATTAATTAAAGATGTCCTCCTACATCAACTTGAATTGACATCCCATTTAACTGAAAGCAACGTTCTTAGAAATTTGGTCCAGTGGGTTTCAAATTGAATTGAAATAACAGCAACAGAGGAGCCTTTTTTTTTAAACCGTTCCTAATGTTTCTTGAGTACGTGTAAGGTTTAAGAAGACTGTTAAGGCCAGCAAGAAGTTACAACGGTAGAGCAAGAGATCCTAGAAGCAAGAGATTTTCCCCAAATTGTTGTCAAAGTAAAAACCCCTATTACCTTGGATGCCTCTTTAGTGCCTCTAAATTAGAGAGAAATCAATGGATACATAGAAATTAAGATCCGTGATCAAATTTGGATCGGTCACCATGCCCACAGATTTTCTTCCAAGCTTTTGGACTCATGCTGGAGCCCATCTTCAGAAAATTTCTCTCTACTGAAATACGTCCTTTGGGCTGTTCTGTGAGTATGTTTACATGGTGCTTTCCTATTGGCCGATTGGTGTGTTGATAGCTGACGACTGGCTGTCATTTCCTTGTGCCACCAAGCCCAAGTATTTAATAGGCTGATGGTAAACCAGCACACCTGTTAACTGACTTCATTCCCTTTGCCACAAAAAAATGTTATTTTATTTTACTCCATCCAAAGCAGCAAACTATTGATTCTTGATTCTGATGGGACCAAGCACTGGGTGAAATCTGCCAAGTTTCCATCCGATAAATGAACAGGTTAAGTCCTCAGGAGTGTCCAACCTTGGCAACTTTCAGACTTGTGAACTTCTACTCCCAGAATTCCCTAGCCACCATGACTGGCTGAGGAATTCTAGGAGTTGAAGTCCACAGGTCTTCACAAGTTGCCAAGACTGGATGCCCCTGGGTTACGCACATCTCTAAACTTGTAAAACAAGTTTACAATGCCCTCTTCAGTCACTCCAGAAACAAAAGAAAAAGAAGGAACAAGGATGGGTGATGATGCCCTTTCTCTTCCAAAATTCTGGGATTGTTGTAAAAAGACCTTCAAGAAAGGTGCAGTGGAGCTTCAGGGAATATGAGTTCCAACATTTGGGAAAAGCATAAACCTTGCATCTTCAGGATTCGGGCATCTAAAATTTGTATTCGCTTAGATGTGACCACAGCATCAAAGGCGCAGGAGACAGGTCCTCGATACACTCACAACTTCTTCCTAGCTAATAGCTTAAGTAGCTCAATACATAGATTTGCATAAATCAAGATCTCGGGTTTAATCCCAAACAATCTTCAATGAAAACCAAGAGGTTTGGGATAACCTTGGCATATGAATTATGAGCACTCTCACCTAACAAAGGAAGCAATATTAGCCTTATAATTGGACTCCCTAAAGGGGTTTTTATAAGAAAGTGTGGATAAAATGCTGCCCCACAAATATATAGTCATGGATTCAGGGAATTTAAACATGTATTAAAACAGGTGCAGCCTTCCTTGAATGTGATTCTTACAGATTCAAAGCAAGTTGCTATAAATTTAAAAAGCTGGCTTTCTGTTTTCTTCTTCAAGATTTTCAAAAGTTCTTCAGTTGTCACATTAGCGGCTTTCAAAATGTGGACTATGAAAAAGAACAAGTGGTTTTTCTTTTCTTTTTCTCTTCAAAGGATATTAATATTATAGCCCATTAGGAATGCTGAATATTTATGGAAGCTGTGTTTATGGATGCATTAAAAAAGCGCATTTCAGTTATTATTGAGCCCCATCTGGTGGCGATATGCAAGAATAACCAATATTTCTGACACGGGAACATTGAACTATGTTGACTACACAATCATTGTTCAGAATTGAAATTTCTTCCACATTTGTTTTTGGGGCATCTGCTTCCTAGATTTATATCTCCAGTGTCTAGACTAGAGAGACATTTTTATTGCAGGAAAAGATACAGGTTTAATCATCTTATATATGTGCAGGGCTTTTTTTCTCATAGAACACCCAGAACGGAGTTCCGGTACCTTTTTGGGATGGAACCTTGTAGGGTAGGCAAGGCGGGTTGTATGACGTGTGTGAGTTCCGGCACCTTTTTTTTTTTTTTTTTTTTAGAAAAAAAGCACTGTATACGTGAATAAGAAACCTGAAGTTTTATTCTGAAGTTGAATCTCAAGTACTTTGGCCACCTAATGAGAAGGAAGGACTCACTGGAGAAGGGCCTAATGCTGGGAAAGATGGAGGGCAATAGAAGAATGGGATAACAGAGAATGAGGTGGCTGGATGGAGTCACTGAAGCAGTAGGCGTGAGCTTAAATGGACTCTAGAAGATGGTAGAGGACAGGAAGGCCTGGAGGAACATTGTCCATGGGGTCGCGATGGGTCGGACACGACTTCGCAACTAACAACAACAACAACAACAACATCAAAGAAACCATGAGTGGACCTTTATGAAGTTAATAAGCAACCAGCCACACACAAGAAGATAGCAGTAGACTTTGAGAAATCTGGATTATCTCAAAGGGCTGACATCAGATGTGCAAGTTTGAACGCATGTTCTCTTCTCTTGCCCTTTACATTCCAGACAACTAGGAAAAGCCATCTGAGATGCTTTCTCCACCCACAATCCTGGTTTGGGCTGATGTATCTCTTGTTCAGCCATTGCCCTGACTTTCCAAAAGTTATTTGTTGTAGCCCATTGCAGATCTGCAGGTGTAAACTGACCTTCAGCATGCAAATGGAGTAAAAAAAAAAAACCCTCTGCTTGTAAATTCATTTGTCTATAGAGGTTGGCTAGATTGGAAAACAAATTGCTGCTGAAACATTTGTGCTTAGCTCTACTTAGGACACACCCCTTGGAAGAGGTATTTTCTGATATGGTCCATCGTGTCTCATCAGCACCCTCAGTCTCACCATTGTGCATTCACATGTCATCATCCTCTGGGGAAAAAAAATCTCCAACAATTCACCCTTTGGAAGGAAAAGTCTCCTGGCGCTCTCCAGGTATGTCTCAACTGAAACTCCTAAAATTCCCAGCTAAAAAGAGTTGGCTACATTGGCAAAAAATTCTGAGAGTTGCAGTCCCAAACTCTTTGAGGCCCAGCAGGTTGTAGATCCTCAGTTTGTAAGGATATGAATGAGCAATCGGCAACAGCCTTGATGAAAAGAAATGCCCTGACATCTAATATTTTGAAAGAAACCTGGTTTAACATGACATATTTCAGATATTTCAGACCTCTTGGTATCCTTTCCTCCACTTTTCTTCTTCTCCCTCTCCCTCTCCCTTTCCCTCTCCCTCTCCTTCTCCTTCCCTCTCTCCCTCTCCCTCTCCTCTCTTCTCCTCTCTCTCTCTCTCTCCCTCTCCCTCTCCTCTCTTCTCCTCTCTCTCTCTCTCTCCCTCTCCCTCTCCTACCCTCTCCCTTTCCCTCTCCCTCTCCCTCTCCCTCCCCCTTTCCTCTCCTCTCCCTCTCCTCTCCTTTCCCTCTCCTCCCCTCTCCCTCTCTTCTCCTCCCTCTCTTCTCCTCTCCCTCCCCTCCCCTCCCTCCCTCTCCCTCTCCCTCTGCCTCTCCTCTCCCAGCTTCCTGATATTAACCAATATCAGGAAACAATTTCACTTGCTTACAATTTTACTGACAGTAAGTGTTGGCTTTGTTTTTTAAACCATTGCATCGTTCATCCTTTCCCAAAAAAAGTCTTTAGTTCCTGGTTTTTCATTTCAACTGAGAAATTGATTTGTTCTTTCCCAGGCAGAAAAGTCTCATTTTCTAAGCAACACACAATCTACAAGCAGCCAAGTTTGGAGCAGAGATACAGCTACAGAGCTCGGTGGGGTTTTAGTGAGAGTATGGAGCTCGCGTCAATTTCAGATTCTTTCATATGGGGGTGCAAATCTATGTAAATCCCAGATTCTTTACACAGCTCCAGCAAAGTGTCAATATTGCTCTGAGACAAACGAAGATACCTGTGCAAAGAAAATAAAAGGATAAGATGCGTGTCATGCACTTGATCGCCAAGGGTTATTTAATTTCTTGCACCTTATGGGTTATGTTTAATCATAACACAATGTCAGCTACAGGGACCAAATATAGCGACATACAGAACTGAAGATACTATATAATATAGGGGTCCAGGATGTGCATGCTAACGCTTTTCTACGTTCAGTTGGCCACGGAGAGAATGCAACCCCAAATTTGCTGAAAATAAAATGGGAAAAACTTTCGGAATAGTTTGAGAGTCCTGCAAATAGCCCCCTGGGGATAGAGCATGCTCAGGGACCATGAAGCGCTAATGCTTTGCTGATATGGGGACAAGGTTGACCAGAAACATGGGAACGGGGGGAATGAAACTATGATGAAGTTGCTAACCTGCAGCTCAAAATTTCTTCAGGTTTAATCTCGGGCAACGGCAGCGGGATTTTGAAGTTCTCGTCCTCTCTGTCTTTGTCAAGCATGCTTTTGAGCTTCTTCTGCAAGGTGGTGAATCCAGTGGGGGGGCTCTGAACGTAGAGAGATGAAATAGAGAACTTCTCTTTTTTGGTCAGCAGGCGTTGCAAAGAAGGGAACAAGGCCACCGCCTCCTGGAGAGAGATGGTGTTTTCCAGATTGGATTGCTTCCTGTTGCTGGTCTTCTGAATCTCCTTGTTGGGGGAGGCTGTGCTGCGGATGCTGTTTCGTGGAGCATTTGCGTTTCTGGCTGAAAGAGTCTGAGTAGGCAGATCCATTCCGCTGAAGGGGGTCAGATTGTTGGAAGGTTTCCGGTCTGGGGAAAAAAGTCAAGAATGTGATGCTTGGGAAAAGAGCCGCCCATCAGGCATTCATCTTTCTTAGAGAAGAATGGCAATGCTCCAAACTTCTGTGAGCATAATTGATGGTCAGGACCACGGGAGTTGTAATCTAGCAACATGTGCAAGGTGTCAAGTCTACGTAAGCTGGAGATCTCTACTCCAATATCGGGGTTTCTACAATAGAATTTTCAGGAGCTACTTTTCTTCATGGTGAAGAAATTTACTAGGGTCTGCCGTACAGTATTTTATCTACTACATCCTTGAATATGAGCCTTCTAGTGGGGAGAAACCTGGCCATTTCCTACCATAGATGGGTCTCTTGGTTGGTTGTCGTAGAAAGCTCACAAAGTTGGACAGATGGTCCCCAAACTGGCTCCAAGGGATGTCCACTGAATCTTTCCCAGAGATGGGATGGGTGTCTGTTATAGTTTGACCTTGGCTGGACCCAGGATAATTGGAAGTCTTGAAAAGAGGGAAGGAATACGATGCTGTTACTGATGTTCTAGGTTGATCTCTCTCTTTTAGACTTCTAAGCCACCCCAAAAAGATGCTGATGATTTGCTTTGTATACACACCTTATAATTTTTTATTGCTTGATACACTGATAGACCTCTTCCTATTCTGAAACATTTTGGGGAATTTACAATAAAAATAGCAATAGCATACATAATAAAAACAATACTCAAAACCCAGGTTCATCTTTTCCAGCAATATGAAAACCAATACATTATGCATTAAAAGTTGGGAAGAGTGAGGGAAAAAAATCTTCCAATGTTCAACCGGAAAGATCTGGGTGAAGAACTATGGTTAATTTATATCAGTGGAACAATAGATTATTTGTGTAATTTGTTATCTGGCCCTAGCTCTTTTTTAAAAATGGGTAGTTTGGCTTATCCTGAGCCCAATTCACCAGGTAAGCCCAACTGATGACATTCGTGTTCTCCTAAGGTGCTGATAAAAACAAAGGGCATGCTTTCTCAAGAATGACCACGATGGTTGTAATTCAACACTTTTACAAAGCACCCGGTTGGAGAAAGTTCTTCTAGAGCAGACATGTCAAATTCGTGACATCATGTGACATTGCGCAACATATCAGGATGGTTTTACCATTGCCGGCAATGGGGTGGGCGCGGCTTCCAGATGACGTGTCCAGCTCGGGGGCCAGCCTTTTGACACCCCTGTTCTACAGCAGGGGTCTCCAAACTTGGCAACTTTAAGACTTGTGGACTTCAACTCCCAGAATTCCTTAGCCAGCTTGTGGACTTCAACTCCACTTCTGGGAGTTGAAGTCCACTAGTCTTGAAGTTGCCAAGTTGGGAGACCTCTGTTCTAGGGGTTTTGGGTTGGCTCTTTCAGGAAGCAGACCACTGGCCCATATAGTACTCATGGTTATGACCCAACCAAGCAACCTGCAGATGTTGGCAGAAAGTTTAAGAGATGTGTAATTCTTATTACAATGCACTTGAAGTGGTGTCCTCACGACCACTTAAACCGATCTCCACCTGCGCTCCAACTGAGACACGATTTCCCTTTTCATGGGCAGCTGGTGATTAAACCTGCTTCTTCTTTAAGAAAAAAGAACTACTTTCTCTCTTTTAAAAAAAAAGCCCATTCATGAGGGGAAATGAGAGACAGATGGCAAACACAGATAAATGTTTCCCAAGAGATGATAATCTGCTACTTAAGGAAAATACGATCTAAGGGACTTAAGGAGCAGTGGTGATCTCTCTCTCTTTTTTTTATTTGAAAAGAAGATGATGGATTTACAGAATTTTTGGGATGGGCGGACAATAATTATTTCCCAAAGTAATAGATTGTTTGGGCAGTAGGCAAAGAACCAGTTGGAAAGGGCTGGTTTTAATTGATGCGTTTTTAACACCATGCTACATTTTAATACAAACTGAAACAGGAGGATGCTGACAATTGAAAAGCACAGATGCAAATCAAAGGTGAGCACATCCTTTATCCCCCCTTTAATTTTAAGGTTCCATTTACCTTACCAAAAACCATTACAGGTTTTTTTATATAGTGTTTCTACAGCATAGGCTAGGAAAGGCAAACATACTGTTACATGCATCCCAACGTTTTGAAAGGAAGAAGAAGCAAGGAGAGTGCAAAATTAGGCTTGTTAGCTTTCCAAAAGTTACTTGCCCTCTTGGGAGGTAAAGATACATTCCAGCTTGGAGTCTGTTCAGGGGAGGAAACATCTGTGGTCAAACTCTACATCCATATCTGCCATTTCCCAAAGGAAGGTGGACAGTCTGGTGAGTTTCTTGTAATATAGGCAATCAGCAATAAAGTACTTGGATCTACTCACTGAGTGGTTTTGACTGATTGCACCTCACATACAAAATTGTGGGAACCTTTTGGGAAAAGTATATTTTTGAGGTTTGATGGCTAATAACACCACTTTTTTGGAATTATATATCAATGGAAAGATAATTTAATCAAGAATGCAATGCAACATAGTTTGTTCAATTGTCTGTATTGTATTCTATGAAAGGTTATAGCCAAATGACAAGAAAAAGGAAGCACAACTTGTTTAGGTTGATACCAGGTAGCTTTCCTTCATCTGATTGTAGCCAATGAGCATGAATGTTTAGAGAGCCAATCAGGTGTCATCTTGTTTTAGCCATGAGCCAATCAGATCACAGTAGGATTCAGTTATTGATGTCATGGATTGAAGCTGAGAGGAGGACATGTGTCAGTGGGTTATGTGATCGCTATCAAGTTGGTTGGTTTTTTGTGTGTGTGTTCTTTCATTTAGTGAGCTTGGGAAACATAATAAAATTAAAGTTATGGTGCAACGAGTTGACTGGTCACCCAGAAAGCGATGTAAAATAGCATTATTAAGTGAACAAGGCTACGGTTATCAAGAAATTAGGAGAAAAATGGGTGGAAACTTAACCAAAGGTGGCATTTCTACTGTACGCTTTTTCCCAAAAGGTTTCCATAATTTGGGCCACTCCGGTAGGAGGATTTATTTCCAATTATATACGTTGGGGAGCGTTGTGTTACCCCAGTGAAAATTCTGCATTGCTTCCATTCAGCAAGCAACCATCTCACACTGTGTCTCTCACACTTTCAATGGGCCACGGGACCAAAGACTCCTATGGAAGTTTCTTTCCTCTTGCTGATGTAATTTCCAAAGTGCATCAGTACCTTATAATACACTGTTTTGTAGGAGGATGTGGGGGAGATCGATGCTTGATTCCTAAGCCACCGTTTCACCTTTCTTTCTTCTTGTAGCAGGAGATTTTCATTCATCAGTTTCATGGAATCCAGCGATCGTCTAATCTTCTTCAGCTGAAGGATTGGGATGGAAAGTTGGTTAATCTGGGTTTCATAATAATAGTAATAATAATAATAATAATAATAATAATAATAATAATAATAATAATAATGTCAGAAGGGACCTTGGAGGTCATCTAGTCCAACCCCCTGCTCAGGCAGGACACCCTATACCCTTTCAGACAAATGGCTGTCCAGTCTCTTCTTAAAAACTTCCAGTGTTGGAGCATTCACCGCTTCTGGAGGCAGGTTGTTCCACTGGTTAATTGTTCTAACTGTCAGGAAGTTTCTCCTTAGTTCTAGGTTGCTTCTCTTCTTGATCAGTTTCCATCCATTGCTTCTTGTCCTGCCTTCAGGCACTTTGGAGAACAGCTTGACTCCCTCTTCTTTGTGGCAGCCCCTGAGATACTGGAGCATTGCTATCCTGTCCCCTCTCATCCTTCTCTTCATTAAACTAGACATACCCAATTCCAGCAACTGTTCCTTATATATTTTGGCTTCCAGTCCCCTAATCATCTTTGTTGCTCTTCTCTGCACTCTTTCTAGAGTCTCAACATCTTTTTACATCGTGGTGACCAAAACTGGAGGCTGTATTCCAAGTGTGGCCTTACTAAGGCATTGTAAAGTGGTATTTGTTTCACAACACAAACAAACGTCCGGAAATATTCATAAAGAGCAACCAAGATTTCAATAATGGATTCTGGTGATCAGGAGATTGCCTCCCCCATTTTAGCATGCAAAAAAAGTTGGAAAGGGTGCCAAATTTTGGAAAAACAATGAAATATCAACAGCAAAAGATTAGATTATAAATTTAACCAGAAGTAGTAAAGCCAACCGGTTACAGGCTGACTCTATAAACCGCTTAGAGAGGGCTGTAAAGCACTGTGAAGCAGTGTATACGTATTGCTATTAAGATGGTGGGGGGAGGTTTAACGGCTTTTCAAGAAGTAGCTTGTTGGTTTCCAAAACTCCTGTTATTTTTTCTAGTGGATGCGGATTTGGAGAAGGTTAGCTGGTACCGTTTCTGAAACATCTGTTAGACGAGAGCAAACTCTGATCACCCCCTTCACAGAATAACCTCTTCCAGGGTTCATTCTTAACACGTGCCTCTTTCTTATCGCTGCAATTGCACTTGCCTTCTTCTTTTCAGGCTTCGGATGTTGATTTCTATTCCAGGCTGCAGATTTGAGCCATCTGCTCCTCCAAGAAAATCAGGCTTTCACCTTCCACCAGCTGGTGGCAAAAAGCAAATGCAGATACAATGGATTTCACGCTGCATACCTGAAATATCTCCCTGTCATTGGATACTCTCAGAGCTTTTGCTCTTTTGTTATCGAGCCAATTCATAGGCCCTATTGGCGCCCAGTTCCTTTCAGTCATGGTTCCCGTTTTGCAGAAGGAAAAACTGCAGTTGTGGAGTCATGCCAAAAGCACGTGGAGAGCATAGAGGTCACTTGCAATCTGCAATCTACATCCTTTAGCTAATGGTACCCTTTCCTGCTGAAAACCATTAGCTGACCTTGACATAGTCTTCTCTAAAGAACTGTGATGCAATAATCTGTGTTCTCGTCCATCTCCTGGGAGGGTTGCCTTGGCAACCAACCTGAAAACATGACTGTGGCATTATTATTAGAGGATTTGCCCAAGATAAATAACCCATCTTTGCTAGAAATTGTGTCTCATTCTTTGTAGCTTTTTCCATTGGAAATAATGACAGTAATAGTAACAATAATTGTTAACGATAAATGGACTGTTCCTCCAATTGGGGATCTGTACCTTCTGGGCTGGCTTCCTTGGCTTTCAAGATGTATATTGTTGATTTGTTAAAAAAAAAATCAATTAGCCATGCATGGTTAGTTGATTTTATGGAGTTTGTTCTTTTTATTGTAGAGTGGTTTCCTGTTTGGCATTCAACTCTTTCCTTGGAGTGAGAGCTGCCTGGATTTTAATGTGTCTCCTTTGTTCATATTTAGGAAAAGTTGGTCATGGAGAAAATCTATCTATGAGGTTTCCAAGAACCAATAATGACTTGATAGCACATACTCATAATTTGTACATTCAAATTCAAATCATATCCCTTCGTTTCCATTCTGTGCTTAGTTCTTAAGTGTAATAGCAATCTTCTTCATCATCATCACCATCAACATCACCCTGGCTTCTCTCCAGGAGCAAAAGTTGGTTGATATGAGGCTCTTCATTTTCTTCCCATGACCATCTTCCGGTTGAGAAAGAGCTCCTTGTGAATAGGAACGCGAGGATTTCCATGGATTGGATTGGCTTTCGGTCTCCTCAATTCTAGATCAACATTTTTAATCATCACACCACACTGGCTTCATTTAGCTATGTAGATTTGGATGGTGTTAAGCAAATGGTGTGTGAGCCAGTTTGAGGCAGGGGTTAGGGCATCAAGCTAGAAATTCGGAGGCTGTGAGTTCTAGTCCCATCTTTGGCATGAAGCCAGCTGGGTGACCTTGGGCCAATCCCTCTCCTTCATCCTAGGAAGGAGGCAGTGACAAATCGCTTCTGAAAAACCTTGCCAAGAAAACTGCAGGGACTTGTCCAGAAGAAACTTCATATCACCTCAATGAAGCCTGGATGATACTTTAACCTACTAGTAGGGAGTAGACTTGTTGTGTTGGGCAATTCCAGCATTTCACAGAAACTGGAGACAGGAAAGCCGTCTTCCACAGGGATGTTTGTGCTTTACTATCTCGTTTGAAGATAGTTTCAGAATGAATTTGGAACTCCTTCTCATGCTGTCTTGACTCATACTTTATGGTTGCAAAATGACCAAGGATGTTGGCTATGTTGGTTCTGATAAATATTTCTCCAGGTGCTTCGGGTGGTCTCTGTGACCATCTGAAGTTTCTGAAATAAAAAAAAAAACTTCTGGGGAGACGTTTGCTCGTGGTGTATTCCCTTGGGATCAAATTAGGCAGGCTGCAGTCCATGAGGAAGAAGAGAAGCCAGGAACTTTGTGGGCCACCAGAGAGAGGAGAAGGTAGGGAGGCCGTTAACTATTATGGACATCATGAAAGAACAAGGCAACTTATATCATTGCAGGACCTTCCAGTTGAGGGTAAAAATCCCATGTTTGATTGCAAAGAATTTCACTTTTCATATTTGCTTCCTCAGCTTCTTTGTTATCAAATGGAAATTGTTTCCTTAAAAATGCAGAAACAGAGTTTTGGGGCACAGCTTTATTTTCTAGGTACCACCCACCCTGTTTCCCCCCCCCCGTCAATTCTGAGCATCCAGAAGAAGACTTTTGAAATCCTAAATGATGTGACCTTTCGGTGGCCTCAGATTGTGAGCGCTGGCCTAGGCCTCTCCGTGACACACAGACCATCACGAAGGAACATTAACTTGACTTCGTAGCTATGGATCTCGAATGAGGAAGGATGTTCCTGTTTTCAGAGGGGTGTTAAATTAAATCCATAAATCTTAGGAAATGGGAGAAAAAATCATTCACCCATAAACATTCCTCAAAAGGGAAGATGGAACTGAGAATTAAAAAAAAAAAGTTCGGATCTGCTCATCTAAGCCTCCAAGGGGTTTTTAGACATCTTAATAGCTTGATGAAAGAAAGTCACGGAAAGAGATTTGTTTCCACTGGGAACTGGAGCTATCAGTGGTATTGGACCCCTGTCAGACATATTGGACAGGGAAACTAACTAATGGTTGAACATTAAGGGTTGGGCAGAAGACTTAGTTCCCTCTTCACCACCACCTTGTTCTTAAAGGATTATATGATTAGGTAGGTACATACCTCTGGGACCAGCAGATAAACATTTGCAGCTAAATGAGTTGCTAATCATTTTGTTCCAGGGGACTAGGCCTTCCTACCCTATTTAACCATAAAAGGACTTTTGTCCACAAAAGTTAAAAAGCCATGAGATTTCACGATGCTTCGGTTTTGCTGCAACTCATTAGCAAGATTTCTTTCCTGGAAGTTCTCATTGTTTAAAATGTATACCTTCTACCTTCTCCTATTGGAATCTTAATGATTATATGACTTTGTTGCTTATATGTAGACTGGGAGCTTATGCACCAGAGACAAATTCCTCGTTTGTCCAATCACACTTAACCAATAAAGAATATTCTATTCTATTCTATTCTATTCTATTCTATTCTATTCTATTCTATTCTATTCTATTCTATTCTATTTCATTCCATTCCATTCCATTCCATTCCATTCCATTCCATTCCATTCCATTCCATTCCATTCTATTCTATTCTATTCTATTCTATTCTATTCTATTCTATTCTATTCTATTCTTCTATTAATTCTATTCTATTCTATTCTATTCTATTCCATTCCATTCCATTCCATTCCATTCCATTCCATTCCATTCTATTCTATTCTATTCTATTCTATTCTATTCTATTCTATTCTATTCTATTCTATTCTTCTATTAATTCTATTCTATTCTAGTCTATTCTATTCTATTCTATTCTATTCTATTCTATTCTATTCTATTCTATTCTATTCTATTCTATTCTATTCTCATTTTCCCAGCTACCTTATGCCATTTTTAGCTCTTCTGGCTAGGATATGCAACATATCTGGAGAGCACAGGGATGTGTAACATATCCTCCTTGCCTAACTAGGCAAGTTAATGACAATTAAATATATATACAAACTCCAGGTGGAGAATGAGTATATCCACCTCGATCATGGAGCCCTCTCAATATGTCTCCAGTTCCCCAGGACCCCGAGGCCTGGTGACATAACCAGGTCTTGAGTGGCTTCTAGAACATCAAGAGGAACAAACTAGGTTAGTCAAATAGAGTTTGCTAGGTTCTGAAAAGGGGTAGTTGAATCTGAAGGGGGAAAAGTTCATTTTTGGGGGGAAAGTTCATTTCGTGCTTGAAATCCTGAGAAAATCACAATCCTAGGAAGATCCTGATTCCCCCAAATGCCTGCCTGAGACCTTGCCTTTTTTCCATTTGCAGAATGTTTCTTTTCATTATAATAAAAGGCACTGCATTGGACCATGTCTGGATTCCCACGTAATTGCTTGGGCACCACTCTCATGTGGCTACCTGAGATACGTTCCTGACAATGTCCTCTCACAATCACAAATAAAATTGGTGTGTGTGTGTGGGGGGGAGACCTAGTTCTTCTTGATAAATTTAACTTTTAATTAATGAGAACACTCAGGAGTGGGATAGACAAACAGGGAGAAGGTTAGACAAACCGAGAGGAAACAGAGTGAAAGCTTAGCAGGTTTATATCCAAGAAATTCATTCCGGAAATCTTCAAGAGGAAGGCACAGAGGGAAATGCAGGCTGACCCAAGATATTTCCCATTTAGGTAGGAGAAATAGCTGATGTTTGAGGCAAGAACAAGATTTCTCCTTGCCAAATGGTAAGGCTGGCCCTGAGCAAAACGGAAATTTCTGTAAGATGCAGAGTATAGAATAACAGAGTTGAAAGGGATGTTGTAGGTCTGCAACATTCCAGAAAGCAGTCCATACAAACAAGAGAAGAAGCCCCATCTGCAGGATGCAGGCAGCACGCAAACACACATACCCCCAGTCCACGAAAAATGCTCTTTCCACAGAACAGTCCCTGGGGGCCTCTGTTCTAGTCCAACCCCCTGCTTTGGCTCAGGAATTATGGGAAATAATAATAATAATAATAATAATAATAATAATAATAATAATAATAATAATAATAATAATAAGAAGAAGAAGAAGAAGAAGAAGAAGAAGAAGAAGAAGAAGAAGAAGAAGAAGAAGAAGAAGAAGAAGAAGAAGAAGAAGAAGAAGAAGAAGAAGTTGGAAGGGACCTTGGAGGTCATCAAGTCCAACCCCCTGCTCAGGCAGGTAACCCTACACCATTTTGGACAAATGGCTGTCCAGTCTCTTCTTAAAAACTTCCAGTGTTGGAGCATTCACCACTTCTGGAGGCACGTTGTTCCACTGGTTAATTGTTGTAACTGTCAGGAAGTTTCTCTTTAGTTCTAGGTTGCTCTCTCCTTGGTTAGTTTCCACCCGTTGCCTCTTGTCCTGCCTTCAGAGGCTTTGGAGAATAGCTTGACTCCCTCTTCTTTGGGGCAGCCCTTGAGATATTGGAACACTGCTATCATGTCCCCCCTCGTCCTTCTCTTCATTAAACTAGACATTCCCAATTCCAGCAACCGTTCCTTATATGTTTTAGCCTCCAGTCCCCTAATCATCTTTGTTGCTCTACTCTGTACTCTTTCTAGAGTCTCAGCATCTTTTTTACATCGTGGTGACCAAAACTGGATGCAGTATTCCAAGTGTGGCCTTACCAAGGCCTTGTAATTGAAGTCCACAGGTCATAAAGGAAACGTTGCAAATACTTGGAAGAAAAGAACTTAAGGAACATCAGAAAGGTCCAAGGATCTACAGCAAGTATCCCCTTCTCTTAAACTATTCCTTACCTCATTAGAATTACATTCTTTATTGTGCCCAGAGTTACTCTGTGATAAGATGGGCAGCCAATAAATGTGATAAATAAATAAATAAATCTTGGTCCAGCTTC